GGAGGCTGAGGCAGGAGAATTGCCTGAACCCGGGAGGCGGAGGTTGCAGTGAGCCGAGATCGTGCCATTGCACTCCAGCCTCCCGGGTTCAGGCAATTCTCCTGCCTCAGCCTCCTGAGTAGCTGGGACTACAGACACGCGCCACCATGCCCAGCTAATTTTTTTGTAGTTTTAGTAGAGACGGGGTTTCACCATGTTGACCAGGATGGTCTCGATCTCTTGACCTCGTGATCCACCCGCCTCGGCCTCCCAAAGTGCTGGGATTACAGGCGTGAGCCACCGCGCCCGGCCCGCCATCATTGTACTTTAAAATTTATTTCCAACTCTAGATGTTCTGTTTAGGTTTTTAAAAAATATACCACACTCCAGCCTGGCAACAAAGCAAGACTCCGTCTCAAAAAAATAAAAAATAAAATTTATTGTGAGAGATTCTGTTCTTTCAAATTATTTGAGTGAAAATATCCTTTTGTTAAATGAAATGATGGTGACAGGAGATAGTGGTGTGACATTTCCTTTTACTGGCTGTACCTGGTAGAAATAAAAAATCAGGCCAGCCATGGTGGCTCACAAGGTCATGCGATCAAGACCATCCTGGCCAACAAGGTGAAACCCTGTCTCTACTAAAAATACATAAATTAGCTGGGCATGGTGGCATGTATCTGTAATCTCAGGTACTCAGGGAGCTGATGCAGGAGAATCACTTGAACCCAGGGGGCAGAGCCTGCAGTGAGCTGAGATCACGCCACTGCTCTCCAGCCTGGTGACAGGGCAAGACTCAGTCTCAAAAAAAAAAAAAAAATCAGCATTTCTATTGTAGCCTCCTAATTTTGGGGAAATATTTCTGTAGAAATCTAAAAGTCTGACACTTTACATCATTATGGCCCCAAAATAATATGGCACTTTACACACAGATAATACATGCCCCTCAAGATTCTCTCTTTAATCCCTACCTTATTCTGTTTGGATTAGCACATTTGGGGATTGTGAAATGAGAATAAAGTTGAGTATAAGCTATCCAAAACCATGTGCTGACACTGAATCCTGAAAGAGGACTTTCTTTTTGCCAATCTTTTTCATCTGTTAACTTTTCTCGGGCTCATTTTTTCTTTTTTTTTTTCTTTTTTTTTTTTTTTTGAGACACAGTTTCTGCTCTTGTTGCCCAGGCTGGGTGCAGTGGTGCGATCTCGGCTCACCACAACCTCTGCCTGCCAGGTTCAAGTGATTCTCCTGTCTCAGCTCTCTGAGTAGCTGAAATTACAGGTATGTACCACCACACCCAGGTAATTTTCTATTTTTAGAAGAGACAAGGTTTCTCCATGTTGGTCAGGCTGGTCTTGAACTCCTGATCTCAGATGATCCACCCACCTCGGCCTCCCAAAGTGCTGGGATTACAGGCGTGAGCCAGGTGGCTTCAAATTTTCTTGAGACGGAATTTCGCTCTTGTTGTCCAGACTAGAGTGCAATGGTGTGATTTAGGCTCACAGCAACCTCCATCTCCTGGGGTCAACCAATTCTCCTGCCTCAGCCTCCCAAGTAGCTGGGATTACAGGTGTGCACCACCACGCCCACCCACCTAATTTTGTATTTTTAGTAGAGACGGGGTTTCTCCATGTTGGTCAAGCTAGTCTCGAATTCCCGACCTCAGGTGATCCACCTGCCTCAGCCTCCCAAAGCGCTGGTATTACAGTTGTGAGCCACCACACCCAGCCTGGACTCAAACTTTCTTTTCCTAAGTGTCACATCTTTGAGTAGTACTGCTACATGGCAATCACTACTCAAAAGAAACTAACTTGAGGTGTCCAATAATCAGCTTTCATTTAAAGTCTCTTTCAGCTTGACAAAATAAAAACTTTCAATGTTTTGTCTACGTACTTCCAAAAGAAAATTAATCTATATATGTATATATATGTGACTATATATGTATATATACATATGTGATTTTGATCAGCCTGTTTATAAACTATTTCCAAAATAAGTTGACCTGTAAATTCATTTATTAAATGAGTAGTTTATAAACTACTTGATTTTTGCAAGTAGTTTATAAACAGGCTGATCAAACCAAACAAATTTCTTAAAATAATTTCACTGTATAGATAGCAAGTAAGTTATTTACTCTTATTAGCATATCTTATTTTTACCTATGCTTAACAAGCATCTAAGTTAAACTGTTTTATGTCCACAGCTACACACTGAAACAGCACTTTCGGTCACAACATATTAAATTCAAATTTAAACTATAAAGAGATCCAGTTACCTTTAATCTTACATGTACTTATATATACTTTTAATATACTTCTTGATGTTTTATGATGCACACACAGCTCTTGCAGGACATATAACTATGAGAATATTTACAGTGTCTGCTTATTAAATGGTTCAAAACTCTTTTTTAACAAAGTCAATTTTAAGAACTTAAATATACAGTAAAGTACTCCTTCCATGCCCCAATGTTAAAAGGTACATTTATTTTAGACTTGTTTTTTAAAAAAATCTAAAATTGGTGGCCGGGCACGGTGGCTCAAGCCTGTAATCCCAGCACTTTGGGAGGCCGAGGCGGGTGGATCACGAGGTCAAGAGATCGAGACCATCCTGGTCAACATGGTGAAACCCGTCTCTACTAAAAATACAAAACTTAGCTGGGCATGGTGGCGCGTGCCTGTAATCCCAGCTACTCAGGAGGCTGAGGCAGGAGAATTGCCTGAACCCAGGAGGCGGAGGCTGCGGTGAGCCGAGATCGTGCCATTGCACTCCAGCCTGGGTAACAAGAGCGAAACTCTGTCTCAAAAAACAAAAAAAAAAAAAAAAAAAATCTAAAATTGGTAATAATTCTGCTTAAATTCCATATTAAACCAGAATCAAAAGTTATTTTTAGTTCTTTTTTCTTAAATACTTGAAATGTGCTGCTGCAAGTTTTCCTTACAAATTTATTCAGTCAACTAACATCAGGTGGAAGGTACTTAGGAGTTTAAAAGTCCTTTCCCAAAGTGGAAGTAACAAACATTTTGCATAAAAGACAATGTTTCTCAAAGGGTATCAGCCTATTATGGTCAGAATAACCACCAACAACTGTGAGCTTTTTGTCACATCTATTTGCCCCTGTAAACTAATACCTACATTTTAAATGCATTTTCAAAACGTTTCATTTGGCCATGTGAGAATTATTTCCCCTGTAAAAAGCTACAGGATTTTGGTTTAAGAGCAAATGAGACAGAGTATCTGGTCCATAAGAAGGCTAAGTAAAATTCCGCACCCTGAAGTTTGTAACCAATAACAAGACAAACTCCAATGCTACCTTGTTCATGTAATCAACAATATGCGAGTCGAAATAAACTAGTGGGCTATGCATTTCTGTCTACATACCAATTTACCAATCAACAGGAGGGGAAGAAATTGCTCAAATGTGACTGTTAACAAACATGTTAACAAACATCTAAATATTAAACAGTCTCTATAAAAATCGTAACCTACATATTCTGAAATCATTTCTTCAACTTGTTATGTTTTTAAACCCCCCCTCCCCCCAAATAAACACATTAAATTAAAAACAGCAGCCACCTTTAAAATGTAAATTCCTCCCTTTTTCAAAGTAACTTGCCTAGGAAAATTTAATGCGTTAAAAGAAAACAACAGACAAACCAATTACAACATTAAAAAAAAAAAAACTAAAATGATCAGTAACAAACCAATAGCTCCAGTTTAGCAAAGCGTGTGTTTTTAATCTGCTGTGGGTATCCTATTACACTAATAAGCAACAAAGTTTAAAACTCATCCCAATACCTAAAACATCACCATACACATAACATACTTGTCATTTACTCCAATGAAGCTTAAACTCAGACCCAAACTCAGATCATTTCCCCCTCCTGCCACACTGAAATATACAAGGTGAAATCCAAGAAATCACGTATGTTAAGTGCCGGTATCTTCTTCCAGAGTAGGGTCAAACTCGTGTTTGCCCTGTCACCGTCCCAGTATGTCTGCAAATTCTCTCTAGCGCTGGAGTACAAGGAGACCTGACCACGGAAACACCCGTCCTAACACCAGGAAGACACTGGGAAACGCAAACCCCCTGAGTCCAAGCCGGCCCCAAAGCTTCGGCTGCAGCGATGGGGGGAACAAGAGGCGGCCGCTGGCCTCGCGGGTGCGGCGGACAAGGTCCTACACCCCGGTCCTCCTCCCGAGAACCAGGAAACCCATCAGGCTGGCCGGGCCCCACCCTCCTCAGACCCACGCGCTGCAGCCCAGCGCGGCCCCCGCCCGCCCAACCGCATCCCTACGCCCCGGCCTCCCAGATGCACTCTCTGACCTCAACCCTCCCCGGCGTCCTCGCAGCCCCGCTATCTTTGCAGCGCTGCCTGGGCACCGGCCGCCCCTGGGGCAGGAGCGTCCAGCTGCCGCCCCCCGCCAGGCCCCGGCCGGACCCCGTCCGTTCCCACACCGCCAGGTCCCAGCCAGCCCAGGCCCGAGCTCCCGCCGCGAGCTCCCCACCCCCAGCCTGCACCCTGGCCCCGCGCGGCCGCTCCCGGCCCACTCCCTAATGGCTACCTGGAGGCAAAGGTGGAGAAGCACCTCACCCAGGGCCCCAGGTCGCAGAGGGCCCAGTGCTCGGGGTCCCGCTCCTGCTCCCTCTGCACCTGGTAGGCATAGATGGAAAGCAGGATTTCCGCACCACACATGGCATACTGGGCCACCCGCTCCCACCGCAGCACCAACACTCTCAGGAGGACCGGGGCCGCCATCTTACCCCTCCGACACCGCCGCCTCCTTCCGCCTTCACCTCGGCCGCTGCCCTCGGCCCGACCCAGCCGCCTTGCCCCATTGTCACGGTCGCTTGCTCTGGGCCCCGTCCCCACAGGCGCGCAGCCTAACCGCCCCGAAATGAGGCTGGCAGAGCAGAAAAGGCGCGCACAGCACGGAGGGAGGAGGGCTAAGCGCGCAACCGCCGAGGCCGCCGGACTGGCTGGGAGACTGAGGCTGCGCGACGCTGCGCGTGTGAAGGGCGGGGCCGGGGTGAGGGCGGGGCCGATGTGATGGGCGGGACTGAGCAGGAGGGACTTAGGGGAGCCCTTGCCAGGAACATGTAGCAAGGATCCCATTGTGGGTGGCTGGGTGAACCCTCGGCCCCTCCCTCTGGGATGGCAACCAGTTGCCATCCTTTTTCCCTTTTTTGTCGTTATCACTTGATATTTCTGACACAATCCAAGTCACCCCTGGCCAATGGTTGGGGCTCCTGAGCCACCCTCCTATGACCTGATCTTCCCACCACCACCTCCAGGCACTTTGTGTTCAACCTATGCAAAACTTTTTTTTAATATGCAAAACTACGTTTTAAATTAAAAAACTATTTTTAAAAAATGATTTATGGGCCAGTCGCAGTGGCTAATGCCTGCAATCCCAACAATTTGGGAGGCAGAGGCAGGTGGATCACTTGAGGTCAGGAGTTCAAGACTAGCCTGTCCTACATGGTGAAACCCCCGCCTCTACTAAAAAATAAAATAAAATAAAATAAAAAATTAGCCAGGCATGGTGTTGTGCACCTGTAATCCCAGCTAAGTAGCTGGGAGACTGAGGCCAGAGAATCACTTGAACCCAGGGGGCAGAGGTTGCAGTGAGCCAAGATCGCACCACTGCACTCCATCCTGGGCCGTAGAGTGAGAGTCTCAAAAAAAAAAAAAAAAAGTTTACGAATGCCTTGCTTCTCTGTAAGCTGAATTTGTGGTGGTTTACCATAATTCATATCATATAGAAAAATATAGATGAGCTAATAAAATCAGTACGAAGAAAAGGAAAAGTCAGGCCCAGGCGCGGTGGCTCATGCCTGTAATCCTAGCACGTTGGGAGACCGAGGCAGGTAGATCACTTGAGGTTGGGAGTTCAAGACCAGTTTGACCAACATGGAGAAACCCTGTCTCTACTAAAAATACAAAATTAGCCGGGTGTGTGGCGCATGACTGTGATCCCAGCTACTACTTGGGAGACTGAGGCAGGAGAATCCCTTGAACTTGGGAGGTGGAGTTTGTGGTGAGCCGTGCCACCACACTCCAGCCTGGGCAGCAAGAGGGAACTCCCTCTTGTTTCAAAAAAAAAGAGGGCCGGGCGCGGTGGCTCAAGCCTGTAATCCCAGCACTTTGGGAGGCCGAGGCGGGTGGATCACGAGGTCAAGAGATCGAGACCATCCTGGTCAACATGGTGAAACCCCGTCTCTACTAAAAACTATAAAAAAATTAGCTGGGCATGGTGGCGCGTGCCTGTAATCCCAGCTACTCAGGAGGCTGAGGCAGGAGAATTGCCTGAACCCAGGAGGCGGAGGTTGCGGTGAGCCGAGATCGCGCCATTGCACTCCAGCCTGGGTAACAAGAGCGAAACTCCGTCCCTAAAAAAAAAAAAAAGAAAGAGAGAGAGAAAAAAAAGTCAGAATAAAATGAAAGGCCAAGAATAAGAACACAGATAAGCAGGTCATAGGGGCTTACACAGTTATTAAAATTGGGTCATACATTTGGCTGAGCTTCCTGGTGGCCAAAACTAAAAGGAAAACACATGTATGTGCTTTTCTCACTGTCTCTAAGAAGAAACACAGTGTTCTTGGAGACTCTGTGTTTCCCTAGTTGCAGCTTTCAATTTTTCAGGGGCTTTATATAGTGATTTTGAGTAATGAGCAATATCCTTGTTTTCATTACCTATTGTTGGGTAAAAATCTCCCCAAATTTAGCAGCTTAATAAACAATACACTTTTTTTTTTCTCACAGTTTCTTTTTCTTTTTTTTTTTTTTTTAAAGACAGGGTTTCACCATGTTGGTCAGGCTGGTCTTGAACTCCCGACCTCAGGTGATCCGCCAGCCTTGGCCTCCAAAGTGCTTGGATTACAGGTGTAAGCCACCGCGCCGGGCCTTTCCTCACAGTTTAAATGGGCTAGGAATCTGGGTGAGGTTAACTGTGTCCTCTGGCTCAGGCTCTCATGAGGATACAATCAAGCTGTCAGCCAGGGCTGCACCTCCCTCAAGGCTTGACAGTCCTCTTTTTTTTTTTTTTTTGAGACGGGGTTTCGCTCTTGTTACCCAGGCTGGAGTGCAATGGCGCGATCTCGGCTCACCGCAACCTCCGCCTCCTGGGTTCAGGCAATTCTCCTGCCTCAGCCTCCTGAGTAGCTGGGATTACAGGCACGCGCCACCATGCCCAGCTAATTTTTTGTATTTTTAGTAGAGACGGGGTTTCACCATGTTGACCAGGATGGTCTCGATCTCTTGACCTTGTGATCCACCCGCCTCGGCCTCCCAAAGTGCTGGGATTACAGGCTTGAGCCACCGCGCCCGGCTGACAGTCCTCTTTCAAACTCACTCCCATGGTTGCTGGCAGGCCTCAGGTCCTCTCTGTCTGTTGGCTGGAGGCCTCAGTTCCTGTCCACTTATACCTCTTCATAAGAAGCAGCTGGCTTGCCCCAGCGTTAGGGAAGAGAAAGATGAAGAGAAAGAAAAAGAAAATGAGAGATCGCAGTCCTTTTTTCTAACCTAATACCAAAAATGACATCCCATCACTTTTATGTATTCTATTACTACTCAGAAAATAGCACCTAGGTCCAGCAAGGCATGATGGCTCATGCCTGTAATCCCAGAATTTTAGGAGGCCCAGGCAGATGGATCACCTGAGGTCAGGAATTCAAGACCAGCCTGACCAATATGGTGAAACACCATCTCGACTAAAAATACAAAAATTAGCTGGACATGTAACACCCCCGTAATCCCAGTTACTTGGGAAGCGAGGCAAGAGAATCACTTAAACATGGGAGGCGGAGGTTGAAGTGAGCCAAAATCACACCATTGCACTTCAGCCTGGCCTAGAAGGTCAAACTCTGTCTCAAAAAAAAAAAAAAAGAAAGAAAGAAAGAAAAGAGTCCCAATAGTCCTTAGGTCCAGCCCGTGCTCAAAGGGAGAGGATTATACAGGATATAAATATGACGAGGCTGTTTACCACAGTCCTCAAAAACATCCTCACTCTGCCCGGGTGGGGTGGCTCACAACATTCTGACAGGCTGAGGCAGGAGGATTGCTTGAGGCCAGCAGTTCGAGACCAGCCTGAGCAACATAGGGAGCTCTGGTCTCTGCAAAAAATATACAAAATTAGCTGGGTTGGTGGTATATGCCTGTTGGTCCAGTCACTTGGGAGGCTGAGGGGGGAAGACTGATTAAGCCCCGGGGTCTTGGGATGGGGGTGTGGGTTGAGGCTGCAATGAGCCGACATTGCCCCACTGCACTCCTACCTGGATGACAGAGTGAGACCCTGATTCAAAAAAAAAAAAAAAAGGCCGGGCACAGTGGCTCAAGCCTGTAATCCCAGCACTTTGGGAGGCCGAGGCAGGTGGATCACGAGGTCAAGAGATCGAGACCATCCTGGTCAACATGGTGAAACCCCGTCTCTACTAAAAATACAAAAAATTAGCTGGGCATGGTGGCGCGTGCCTGTAATCCCAGCTACTCAGGAGGCTGAGGCAGGAGAATTGCCTGAACCCAGGAGGCGGAGGTTGCAGTGAGCCGAGATCGCGCCATTGCACTCCAGCCTGGGTAACATGAGTGAAACTCAGTCTCAAAAAAAAAAAAAAA